CCCGCCCCTGCAGAACTCTGACATCGTGACGATACGGGAAGTCACGCCGCAGGCAGGGGGAGAAGGGGGGGAGGATCAGGAGGAGGAACCCAACAGTCACTTAGTCTGTCTGGAGATTCATCCTGTCACAGAAGGTATCTGTAAGGTAGGTACATGTATACTGTCAAACTTGGCCAAACGACCACCTCTATAAGCCGGCCTTTAGGCCATAATGAACGCTTTTCTCAGCCCCAATTATTTCCCCTTAGACGTATACTAAACGATAAGACTTGCCTAAGATGACCACTTGTCCAAAGTGACCGCAACCGGTTCAATTTTAGACCACACATGGCCCAATCTCTGCCTATGACAACCACATCAATTTCAAGCGTGTGGCAGAAAAGTTTTTTTGATGATATGAACTAGCGAGAAATCATAACAGAATCAGCCAGTTGTCCATTGATTTCGACAGCATTCCAGTGTTTGCTCAATGTGAAATGGCACCGACTGGGTATCTTTATTAATTAGATCATGGGGCAGTCTAAAATTTGTGAGGATGGCAATTTTGCTGCAGTTTTGTCGCCATGCTTTTTGTATAGGAAGATCACTTTTCCTAAGTCCCTTGAGTCAGGTCTTAGACAATTTTGACTATACAATATAGTCTACAACAGTTGGAGGTCCTACTTACCATTGAGATATTAATCATTATATTTTACATGTGAAAAAGACTTTATCTTTGCCATTTTGTGTCCAATGACAGGAGGACCTCATACTGACCACAGGTGACTGTGGGACCAAGTCGGTCCACCTCCAAGTGTACGCTCAAGTCCTGGCCAGAGACAAGGGGCCACCCCTCCTTAAAGAAGGGGTGATGTGCGTGGGCACGGACCAAGAAATAGCCAAAGATCCTCAAGAGATGCCCAAGTCTGCAGTACAGTTCTCAGAAGAAGAAGAATCTAGTAGTACGGCTGAACAAAATAACTTTAACAAGCCTGCAAGAGGGGTGCGGTTTGGGGCGGAGAAGTTGAGTCCGGTTGACGAAGATTCGTCGACGGAAAAACATCAGCAGCAGCATGCTGGTGGTCATGTCCATTTTCCAGCAGACCTACACGGGCCGGAGCTACGGGTCACTCAGAATGGCCAGGACCGCTTCTCTGTCAACCTGGGATTCCTACAGGTATTACCCATGCCTCTCAGTGTACATGTACTTTAATTTACCCCCCACCCCACACCACTGTAGGAATTTTATTTTGGGGCTTAATTTTCAAATGCTGCAAGTACGAAATACTGACGAAAATGTATCAATATCAGACAGATTTCCTCATCCAGAATATTTTGTTTTGTTCCCCTGAAATTGCATTGGATGCCTTTAAAGGCAATTTTTGGCATAAAATGATAAGAAATCAAATGTATGGTAACTGTTTTGCCTGTGATGTTTTTTCCTGATTTACGAAAATCTGTTTCATAGCAAATTGAATGAAACATGCATGCCCGGCAATTACTGTATCATTCTGTAGGAGTGCAATCAGACATTATACTCAGCCTAGACTAAGAATACCAATCCCGCATGAAGCTATGGCTTGAATTTCAACATGCATCTGATATATTTGGCAAAGCTCTCATGCCCAAAGTGAATGCCATTTACCCTTTGCAGAGAACAAACAACTTGGAGTTATGACATTTACATAGCATACTGTCATGTCAAGTGGTTTGCAAATGTCAAAGCACTCAGGTTTGCTAGTTGTAAACCAGAACAGCTGTAATTGGTGGCAAGGAGGTCCTCCAGTTCTATTATATAATGCAGAGTTGTTGACTTAGACTCTAAAGTATGGGGTTGTGTGGCATAATGGTAGAGTGTTCGTCTCAGATTCAAGAGGTCCTGGGTTTGAATCCTGCCCGATGCCACCAATCTTGTGCCCTTGGGGAAGGCACTTAACACGACTTTCCTCACCAAAGGAAAACATATTGTTTTTGCTCTGTTTCTTCTTGTTCTGTTCCAAACACTGACCTGGTCAATGACCTGAACCAGACTGGCTGTCACCATGGTAACTGGTGTTGGGTTACATAATGTTGCAATTTTATAGTAGGAGGGATTTAGACTCCTATCACCATAGATGTGAATGTGTTATGAGTAAGAATTAACAGAGCAGACCATTTGCGAAGGTACACAATCATTTATAATGCATTTGCTTTGAAAATGTTACCTTTCTTGTTTTCTTTTAAAAAAACCTATCAATCCTTTCCCATGTTTTGTCTGCACCTGGCACAGATCCACAGAACGTACCAGGCCAAGTTCACCCTCAGACACGGCTTCGGGCCCCGTCTCTCTGCCCCGCCCCTGCAGAGTGTTTACTTCACCATCAAGGAGATTCACCACAACGTAGACAACAGCACAGACGCCGAGGGGAACGCACAGGACAGCCACACCCTGGTGTTAGAGATCTGCACAGAGAAGGACGGGGTTGTGAAGGTATTACCTCCATGAAAAATGGAGGTATTGTTTGTGGTGTGTGTGTGTCTGTGTGTGTGACTGTGTTGCTGCATTGCCCTTAGGTCAGGTTGTAATGGATAATGGTTGGGTTCAGTCTGTCTCAGAGGGAGAAAGTCGTGAATCACAACTGGTTAAAGTGCTCGCTGTTTTTACAGGTGTTTTTAGTTACATGACCTCCTTGACAGCTGAAAGCTGTTGATTTTCTCTTGTATGATAAAGAAGGGAATTGCAAAAGGAGATTACAAGTCCTACCAAAAGTTGTAACTTGAGGTCTGTTGTCTGTGAAAGTTTTGTATTTATGCTAGATTAGCTACATTGTCTTCAAGCTAGCTTCACTGTGACTTCATCAGATAAAGTGGGGATGGAGTAAATTCTATATATTTGCAAGCTTAAGGTGATGCAAAAATGACAAGCTGCTACCAATAATGCATGTATGGACAAACTTTCAACAAAAGTGGTGTTGTACAGACCTGTCACTTGTGCATGGATACCCTTCCACTAACTGCACTTCCATTTACCTTTGACAGGAGGAGCTCTTCCTGACAACAGAGGAAGATGCCACCAAGAAGATGTGGGTGGAGCTTCATGCCAGAATCATGGGCAAGGGGAAGGGCACTCCTCTGCTGAAGGAGGGCGTTCGATGTTTGAAGGTCAACGTGGAGGAGGACTCAGAAATCAGCGACTGGGCAGGCTTCTGATAACATAATGTACTAGAGCACATTGGTACAATGGCTGAGTTATCAACAATGTCATTTCAGTGTTCCAGCCATTGTCTGTCTGTCCGTCATTTGACTGAATTTTGCTGCTCACGACGCTCATGCCCATTCTGCCATCTTTGGTGGACAAAATTAGTTGTGTAAACATATTATGGAAAGAGATGTCATTAAAACTAAGCTTATTCTACGAACAAAACTCTCAAAATGCATTTCAGAGGGACAAGAATTTTAAAAAATTGGGGGGCAGTGTGCCACCAGGCCCTCAAGAATTGCCAATGTTACGTCAAACAAAAAAGAGATGACGGAAAAAAAAAAGTGAAATTTAATATGTTATGATCATGTCACCATCACACCAGTTTCACCCTGGAAGTAATGGATTCAATTAGCACGTCGACAGAACATACTGCACCTGCACGAAACCCGTAATGTATTGTGCATAGCAGTGACTTTGACAGAACATCTCATATAAGGTCATATTTGCGCATATAAGGTTAACACTGTGTAAATGTTGTGTCGTAAAAGAAGATATCCTCTGTAACAGGCAAAATTCTGATGCAGTATTCAGACCAAAAATCCCACGAAACCATAAAAATGCAGTACGTTCTGCCAACGTGCTGATTCATATATTATATACATGTATACATGTATATGGTTGTTCTTGCAATTTGGGAGCACCTTTGTGTTTAAGAGTTAACTGTTGTCTGTGGCTGTCTGTTGGGGAAAGTAGAATTTGACATCCCTTTTGGGATTATTGGCCCAGTACTAAGTTCCTCACTGGAAACCAGGGTTACACCGATCTTGTTTTGTATTTTACTTTTGTTTTTCTTTAGTTTTGGTTGATTATTTCAATCCACAATCTGTACTTTTGTTCTCCAGCTTTATGTACCATACATTTTTATATTTTCTTCCGGTGTCTTATAAGCCCACACGGGCTTGGTGCATAAAGTGCAAGACACGTTAAAAAGTTCAGTTATTTTCCAAGATTTTCGGCCCAGTTTTTTTGGGCCGAAGGGCCCATTGTGTTTGATTAAGGATACCAGTTACTGTATTTTAGCATAATGTTTTCCAACCAACTTGTTTTTTTGTAGCCAAATAAACTGCACTCAATGAACTTTGCAGAGGATTGCCATCTTCTTGTCAAATACTTCAGGAGAAGTGTGGAATTATTTGTGATTGTGCCCTCTAGTGTCAACATTTTGAGATATTTTTGTCGAAGAAACCGTATTTGTATAGAATATGTATTTTAATATGATAGATGCCCAAAGTAAGTTCTATTTGTGAAAAAAGTGTTTTTGAGGTGAGACCTTTTAATGTGAAATACAGGTGTACATGTGTGGTGTCAAAAAACTTGTTAAATTTTACTGTTGTTGTAGGCATTTGATGCTAAACAGTTTTGAAAGCAATAAAAAAAATGTGGTACATGTATCATCCAGCAAAATAGATTACTGGCTTCCAGGGTAGGTAGTGATTAATATGGTGACTATTACCTAGGAGTATTAGACTAAGTATGATTGTACTTACTACCAAGGATTGATAAAGCAATCATTGAGAAATTGTGCTGTTATTTGTTTATTAACTATCAGCCACTAGACCAGGTGTTAAACACCTTTTGCATTATTAGTAGTATTGACACCACTGTTCTATAGCCAGCGTACGTCTTTCTGTCATCAATGGTTGACAAAATTTGCCTAAGCCGTCATCTTTGACAGCAAAAATTGATGTGTAAGAAAGATGTCATTAAACTAAGTTAGTCTACCCAGCAAAATTTGCCCCTCAATGCCAGAAATAGCGTTTCAGAGGGTCAAGATTTAAAAATTTTGCCAGGGAAGCATATCCCCAGACCTCCCCAGGATGTTTCATCAAAAAAACTATAGAGGATGGAAAATAATTGAGGCTGGCTAGAACACTTCGATAAGGCATGTTAACTTTTACTTTCCATTAGCATACATGTAGCATTCTCTCTCACAGTATACAGCAAATTTCTTACACATAGTTAACACTTTGGATCATTCAGTATATATGGTACATGTATTACAAATTGTACATTAGATCACCAGTGTTAGACTTATAAATGTTGATTCTACCACAAATCCTGAATCAGATATAGTTAGTGAGTTAATGCTGCTGCACTTAATGTTACACAAATGTATCATGGTGATCACAGTGGAGATTGTTGCACACATTTAAGTAAATGTTATTCATATTTTAGATTTTAGTTCTTATTGGTCTTTAGGAAGACATATGATATTTTTCAAGATATGTGTAACATCTGTGTCCATAATATCACCAGGGTCCATAATATCGCCACCTTGAGAAATAGTGTGCTTAAAAATTTTTTTACTACAACATACCCTAGGTATGTACATTTGAGGTGTGAAGGAGTGCATACCAAAAGTATGTTGCAGTAAAAATATCTTAAAGCCCACTATTTCTCAAGGTGGTGATATTGTGGACCCTGGTGATATTATGGACACAGATGTTACATGTATGTACATGAATTGCGTTGTTGCTGTTATAATGCCTTGACCCCAAAATCTATAAAATAGAATCGTGAAAAAATAATAGTGCCTACTACTACTACTAGTATAACATGGTTGTTACTTGTATGCTTAGCAATAAAGTGCAAGGTTTATTGGTAAACAAGTGTGTTTGCTGTTTGTTTGTTTGTTTTTATTTTATATATAGGTGCATAAAAACCAATTCACAGATCAATGCCACATATTGTGCAAATGATGCAGCTTTTTCTGCGCAGACAACACGGGTGTGTACTTGTCAGCCACAGTAGTACCTTTCCTTTGTTTTTAATAGGCCATGTTGATTTGATTACTAGTATATGGATGACATCCATGCGCGCATGAATTTTCGTCTGTTTCCAAAAAAAAAGGTTTTCGACCATACTGTAAATCATACAAAGTACAAAAAGAGCAATTAATATATGCCGCAATTTTAAAAAAAATATTGGAAAACGATACTTATGTCGCAGAATGACAAAATCCATTCCAAAGGACAAGAAGAAAATGTGAAGGGATGAAAATGAAGGGCCTATTATTCACCATGCCAATAAAGACAATAAAATATAATACTCTGTGTGTTTAGTCATTTGTTCAACCTTTACGACCACCTAGATTTCATAATGAAGGCAACTTTATTTTTTGCCAAACTTTTTTACTCGCACGCTCGCATCAGTTTTGGGGTTCCCAGAGGATTCCATTCATATAATCAAATCAACATGGCCTTGTTGTTTCTCTGAATAAAAAAAATCTGACGTGACATGTGTAGGATCCTCATTTTGAATTTGGCGCCAAGATTAAGTCATTTCCGGGTACACTTCTGGCTCTCGTGGTGCATTGTAGGTATTTTTTTCACCACGTGACTTTAGTGTGGTGGGAAACTCGAAATGGCGTCGGTGGTGCAGAACTCGCGTCTCTCTGCAGAAAACTCGATTTTCTCGTCTTCCAGGGTAAAACCTGTCTCTGTGTTGTACAGTTCGTTGAAGTTATATTGTGTGTCTTTTCAATGGCTGAGCTTTCAACATCATACGTTGGCGGAGGTAGCAAGGTTAAGTTTTGAAGCTTGTCCAACATGCATGTCGACATGCGACATGGGGTTTTGGCCCGGTCATGCAGCTTACAAATTTGCAACCTTGCAAGTCTTTCTGATAATTTTGTGAAGTGAATGACAAGGCTCGTTCCCCTTGGCTAGCATATGCAGACTACAAACACATTTTGGGATATAATTTGGCCAGTGGAGTTAGCCCGCCATACAAGGACCAGTTTGTATGCAGACCTTTAAAAATTACATCATGTATCTTTTATGCAGTCACCTTCACGGCTTCAGGCTGATTAATTTAGCCAAAAAAGGAGTCTGGTAAAGACTATGCATGTGGTGGTCCAAATTCTATAGCACAGAGTTGGTGATTCAGTGTAGCAGGTTCATCAGCAAGTTGATGTTGGCTATACTTTAAAGTTAAAGCCCCAAAGACAAGACAATGAATGACATTGTAACTGTTGAGTGCTGTGGATCCAAATTTGTGGCTGTGCTATCCCCATGCAGACCCTGAGAGAGAGCAGCAGCAGCAGTGGTTCCAGTGACAGTGAAGAGAGAAACACCCTGTTAACAACCATGTTAGCAGCACAGAAGACGGCATCACCTCAGCAGCACAAGCGCAGGAAAGTCAAATCATTCAAGGACAGGTCAAAAGTTAGTATTAGCATTTTTTTCAACTTTATAAGGAAGTTAAAGTTAAACTTCCTGGTACCCAGGCTAATATAATAAAGCAAGGAAGTTAAAAATCAAGCCTCCTTGGATATATTAAAGTGAAGAGGTCTCTATTTCATAATATTTTCAATTGTAACATTGAGGAGCAGCATGGTTGTAATTAAAGCTGAATGACATGATTTGTAACAAATACCCATGTCAACTCAAGTTGACCCATTTAATCTGTAACTCAACACATACTGTCTGTCACACTGGACTTTCCAGCCATTCACATCTATCGTAGGGCTCGAAATACTTTTTTTGTGCATACCTGCCGATAACATTGAAAAATACCTGTACCAGACAAGTTTTACCTGCACCTCTCACTCTCAGACTTTAACTTCAAGAATGGATAATACTAATGACTGCTCAAAAACCTTAACCATTATTTCTTTTATACGTCACTGTCAATCCAGTATTTTGAGCCCTGCCATCTGGAACCCATTTGTAGGGGCTAGGGGGTTCCCATTTGTTTCACGGGTACATGTATTGTACGTTTATTTACAGATGTCAGTTGCATCTCCGAAGAGAAAGAAACTTCAGACTCTCCAGCTTACAGCCAAACCTGGTGAACTGGCTGGGAACAACACCATTCTCAGGTTCCTGGACAAGGTAATCTTGTTTACTACTACTTACCAGTAACAACAGTAAGTACTCAACACCAGGGTCACTCACTGAGTTAGTCTCCATTAGACTAACAATGTAGGCTGAGACAGAATACTAGTAATCTGTTATGGAGTTTGGCCACCCACATGCATTATAAGATATGGGAAAATGGTACCCTTATGTCACACATTAGTACAAACTTCCCACAAATTCCCAAACTGGTCAGCTGGTGTTCGAGAGCACTCTGACCGGATTTAGGCCACGCCTACCTTTTGTCTATGACTCAAAACCAATCTGAGTTAAATTGGAGTCAAATTTGATCACTGAACTGAGCATAAGAGACAAAGCCATTTAGTATAGTATACATAGCTCACATGCTTCCATTTTTAAACATGGCATTGGCTCATGGCATACTACAAAATCCCCGGGCTGTTTTCGGCCCTACAGCTGCAGTGACACTTGACGTGCCCTGCCTGCCGACCCCAGGGCCGGCGGTGCTCCCCAGTGCACCGCTGGCAGACGGACTGTACCAATTTCAACCAAAATGGGTGGGATGGGCTAGTAAAAAGGGACTTTCTATCTTCTACGCATGGCAAATAGAAGTTGTTTTGAACAAAATGGCTGCCTGGTGTACTGGCTACACGACTTCTGCTGTTTTATAGTGAGTAGTTTGGAGGAGATATCTTGTTTTTGGTCGATAACACACGTAACGGAATGTAACCAAGAGATTGCTACTTACCAGTTTATCACAAACCTAAAGTTAGTAAAGTAAAATGGTCATAAAATGTCTTTTTTGATGCATTATGTATCGAAATTCCCTGCCCCCCTCCCAAGTGCAAGGCACATAGTAACAAAAATAAGAAGTATTCAATGGTTTATGAATTTCCTTGTACGCCGCGGGTCACTCCCGGGGGCACCCTGACAATCAACGTCTCGCCTGAGCGGTATGTAGTCACGCCTAGAAGGCCGACTACATGTGTTGGCCCCCTGGATTTTGTAGTGGAGTAGTACGGTCGGAGTCGGACGGTCGGACGGTAGTACCCTCTAGCATAGTCTTTAATTTCATGTAATGACTTTCAACAGAAAAGCACCAAGAGGAAAAGCTGCTCGGACGGAGAGCGGAACAAGCCAGTCAAACTTCCTCGGGCTGACTTGACGTCACGCACAACTACCACAGCTCCCGTGATCTACAACGATCAAGACTCGTCATCAAACGACAGCAGCAGCTGTGATGATAGCAAGTCTCTGGCACAGGAGGCACTGGACATCATGAAGAATGGTACGCAACTTTTCACAGCATCCACTGCAAGTACTACATGATGTAGCAATATTACTAGTATTCCTTCATGATTGGACAAACAATATTATGTATTTCCTTGGAGATTTTTTCTGTGTCAATGTTCAATATGGTCCAAATGATATATTGTTACTTTACTGCAATGATATTATTATTCCGTGAACAAGGTTGATGGAGTCATCCGAAAATTTGGGGTAAGTCCCATTTCCATAGTCTAAGTGTTGGAAGTTTAAGCTAGGTCTTCATTTCATAATGACTTGTACCAACACAGATGAACTTTCATGCTACAATGATATTACTTGTTTCCTACCCTACCTTAGAGCCTACTTCTGAGTCCTACTGGCAGGATGTGGCAGAAGAGAGGAGACTGGCACTAGTAGACACACTCAAGGAAAATGAAGAAGTAAGTGTACCCAGCGACCTATTGCTACATGTGTGTTTGTATTTAGTAAGTATTCCCAGTTGCCATGAACGTAACCTGTTGACAGGTTTGTTGAATAACCTGTTGTACCTGAATGAAAATTGCAGGAAAATTCAAATTGTTCCCCCTTGCAAGACTGTTACTGTTTTTTTACATACTGGAAATGGAACTACACGTACATGTATTTACTAGTGATCCCAAACCTCTGGCTTCAAAAGATACGATTAAGGACGTTAGATGGTCACTTAATGAATGGGTACATTATTTTGAATACATGTGCAAATGTTTGTGAAGTCCAGGACAAACTTTAATCGCTTCGGTTTTAAGTTAAATTGTTGTTTCAGTGTATTTTTGTTATTTCCCTTAGCTTCACCAACAACTGGAAGAGAAAAAAGCCGTGATCAAGGAAAAGGAGGGAGTGATACAGGATCTGACAGAAGAGAATGAAACTCTGAGGGAGATGGCTAAACAGACTGAGGACATTCTGTCTATCTTGAAGGTAAGCACTGTGAGGCCTACAAAAAAAATGTTGTTTCCTGTTTCCCGACCAACCCTAGAAAAACCAGTGTGGACCCCTGTAAGGGACATAAATTTTTCAAGCCGATCGACCATTTCTAGCTCCATGATCTGACACCTGAGTGATGAAACATTGTACAATCGGTTTTCCAACATTGACATTGAAACTATAAAATAGTATAAGTGTCCTCATACAAGTTTTGCTTTGTTGACTGTATTGTAT